GACAGAGACAGAGAGAGAGCGACAGGGACAGAGAGAGAACGACAGAGACAGAGAGAGAACGAGAGAGGGTTGAGAAAGGGGGAAAACACTTCACGGGGCGTGTACAATGTACCACCACGTTATAATATATTATAAATGTGCAAAATATTTCCAACCAAGACCAAATAAATGAACCATTCAATTCCCTATTTAGAAGTCAATCGAATTGAGTAGAGCTGAGGCTGTTCAGCAACATTTCTATTAGTAATACTTATAACTTATTACTATAACCAGATGTTCATTATTACAAGCACGTGCGTGCTTGGGTGGGAGGGGGAGGGCAAACAAAAAAAGATTATGGAGAAGTACTCTACTTGAAAAACCTTAAAAAGAATAAACCCTAATGTCAAAGACCCTGGAGACAATAACCTGTTTCCTGAGCAGAAAGAGTGATATTTCCCGACTACGGGGGTGAAAGAACGGTAGAGACATTCATGACTTGCTTCATTGTAAACAATAATTGTCCACGGGACAAGAACTGTCAATAGGCACCAAGTTAACTGGTAAGCCCTTATAACAGCCTTCACTCCCTGCAGCGAGATAATCTGGTTATTTATCAGGGCCACAAAGCAGGACAGACACTGAAAGGACCAACTTTCTCTCAGCGAACAAGGCGACTGGCCTGGTCTTAAAAAAGAAATTAGATAAATAAGTTGTTATTACGAGAAAATACACATTTCTGCAACAGCAAACCTAACAATACGACGAGAATACTAGAAGTGTTGAAAATGTTTCCATCATTAAAATTTCTCGCACCCTGCACCGACAGTCTGTGGGGGCGCACTTTGATCTATTTGACTTTTCCCCATTAAAAACTGGTCCAGAAAGAGTTATCCTCTAACTTGTCTCACATGGTCACGTCTGTAGAGCCAACGAGCACAAGAAAAAGTTGTTGTTTTTCAAAACGAGATTAGAACAGATCATTTATTTTTTAATGCACTATTGAGTAACCATCGCGTGCGATCATGTTCGAAGCAAGTCTGGCGCCAGGAGTAGATGGTTGTGTACGTGAATACAGCAGGGCTTTGATGTGCTTACTGGATAGGCATGCTTGTGTGTCGGAGTGGAGGAGGTATGTGCGTGGATGTGTGATTCTGTGGTGTATGTATGTATTACTGTGTGGGTGTGGGGGTGAGGGGTGTAAAGGGGAAAAGAGTAGACTGCAGGAGAAGGACAAGAAAAGATAGACGGATAGACAAAACAGACAGACAGACGGACGGACGGACGGAGAGAGAGAAAACAGACTGACAAACAAGGAGGAAATGAGACGAAAAGAGAGAAACACGCAAACACACACACACACACACACACACACATGAAGAGAGAGAGTGTGTGTGAGTGAGAGAGAGAGAGAGAGAGAGAGAGAGAGAACG